GTCATTTATCCTCCTAAATTCACCGTCTGGAAGAGAAGATTAGCTCAGACAAGCTTTGAGCTCCCTGCTAATCCAATAATCAATAGTTTCATGATGTGCTTCCCCTCCTTCCCTCCAAAAATCAATCACTAAAAATCACCCTTTAATATGATTCATCTGAATCAAGAAAGACTTTTTCCAGAATCCGCGGTATAAAGAGCACTTACTTACAATATGGGCCACTGGAATACACAGTCCTTCTTTTGGGGTTCAGGTTTGAAGATGAAGAACCCAGAGAAACTGAAGCCTAGGCATTCTCTAGCTAATCTGCAAATCCTGGTGCCAGTATGTCACAAGTCAGAGCGGAGCACATGGAAATTCACTGATGACCCCAAATCCTTTAGCTGACTGTGGCAACTACTTCCAACACCCTCTCACTCTTTCCTTGTGTATGTGAGTATATGTATGTCTATGGTACGGGTACACACAGTACTCAGTTCATTTTATTTTTCTTGCTTCCTCATTACTACTAATGAGCAAAAAATTAAAATAATTAAAAAGATAAAGGGCCAAGAAGGAAGGACAAAAGAGAAGTCAAAAGCTGGCTTCTTGCCTAATTGGATCATCAGGTTTAAGAAAGAGTTGCCAATCTTCATGTGTCTCATGTTAAGTTGATCTGAGCTCAAGTAAGGGGCTACGAGGCAAAAAGCCCTAAAGGCAAGAGTAGTCCAACAGGGGTCCCAACCATCTAAAAGAACCAGACCTAAACCAACTGCAGACATAGGCAAATGGAGACATCACCAGCTTTTCTAAGCATCAGTTTAGAAAAAGAACACAAAGACCGACCAGATTGACTGGAATCACTAGTTAAGGGACAGCCCAACAAAGAAGTTTCAATGTCAGGGAAAGTTACTCGAACATTTTTGAAAAGCTAGTTGACTATAGCCTCACATTTATTTGGAAAATATTAGCTGTTAATATAACAGATATACCAGCACATCTGCTATGAGATGGGGGAAAAGGAAGGAGGGAGGGAAGAAGGAGGGAGGGAAGGAGGGAGGAAAAGAGGGAAGGAGGGAGGTAGGAAAAGACGGAGCGAGGGAGGAAGGAAAACAGGGTGGGGAGAAGAAACAGTGGTTTCTATATAGGGCGGTATAGGTGCTATGAGCTGAACTATTTCCCCCAAAAATTCATATGTTGCAGCCCTAACTCTTAGTACTTCAGAATGTGACTACAGTATTTGCAGATAGGGTCTTCAAAGAGGTGATTAAGTTCAAAGGAGGCCATTAGAGTGGGCTCTATGCAATTAGATGGGTGTCCTTATAGAGGAAACTTGGCTAAACAAGAGACACTAGGGATGTGTGTGTAGAGAAAGGACCATGTGAAGAGGCAGCATGAGGGTGGCCATCTGCAAGCCAAGGAGAGAGACCTCAGAAGAAACTGACCTTGCTGGCACTTTGATCTTGGGAATAATAACAGTACCTTGCCTCATAAGTTTATTGTAAGGACAAGATAAAGCCATGTAAAGCACTTAGAACAGTGGCACATAATAAGCACTCAAGAATCAGTAGCTGATAGTGCTGCTACTCTTATTTTTTATTTTTTTAGAATGGGGTCTCACTCTGTTGCCCAGGCTGAAGTGCAGTGGCACGATCATAAATCACTGCAGCCTTGAGCTCTCAAGCAGCCTAGACTACAGGCTTGCACCAACATGCCCAGTTAATTTTTAATTTTTTTTTAAAGATGAGGTCTCACTGTGTTGCTCAAGTTGATCTAGAACTCCTGGCCTTAAGTGATCCTCCCACCTCAGCCTCCCAAGTAGCTGGGACCACTGGTGTGAGCCACTGCACCCAGCAACTGCTGCTGTTATTGATAAAGGGGTTAAGGTTACCTCAGCAGACCTAGGGAGATATGTGTAACCTTTTGTGTAACAATATTGACTGAATGAAAACTTCACCACCAGCTTTCTAACTGACTTCAGGTATGTAACAGAGCGTTTCGGGGCCTTCATTCTCATGCTTCTACAATAAGAATCAAAATTTCTGTTTATGCTCAACCACTTTGCAAGAAGGCTATTTGATTTTCATTGGGGGAAAAGTCCCACCAGAAAGAAAGCTGAAGGTGGTCTGTCTAGAGTAACTATATCCACCTCAGCAGGTGCTGTTTGGCCAGCATTGTGGACTAGAAACACTCCAATTCAGGATCACTAACTCTATTAGCCTAGGGGAGATTTTCTGATGTACCTTTCTTTTCTGGGATCTGAGAGAGCTGCTGAAATTTGAGAAAGCAGTTCTCTATCTGCCTGACCTCTGAATCTCCTGAGAAAACAGGTACAAGGGGGAGGAGAGATGATAAGATAGCATTGGATCTACTTTTCTGCCCTAACAAGGTTACCTCCACAGGCAGGAAGTAACTTCTGTTCCAACCCTGTTCCACATGACCGAGGCAGGAAGGACTTACGCTGTGATGTGGGAAATTCACCGTTGTTAACTGTAAATTTTTCAATTTGGTTTATTTTTACCATTCTTTGGAATTATCCTCTCTAGCTCTGAGACCAAGGCAGGAGTTCTGATTCTATAGTTTACCAAGTGAAGTCAGACAAGTCACAGATTGTGGGAGATGTAGAAGGCAGGACAACAGTGCCTGTGTCAGCGGCCTGTGACTGCTGATCCCAGCTTACAGAGGAATGCTGAACCAAAAGCACCCTGACCACTAAGACAGAGGCTGTGCCCCCTGCCCTCCCCAACAAAGACAGTCCCCTCCACCAAGAGCTAAAATGGTTTATCTATGAAATGCTTTGGGGTCCTTGGCAGAAAAGGTCTTGTCCATATAAGCTACCTTGGGAGTCCTATTAAAATGCAAATTCTGGTCCAGGTGGTCTGCAGATGGCCCCTGAAATTCTGCATGTCTAACAAGCAACACCCATGTGATGCTGATCCTAGGACCATACTTTGAGTTACACACTTGGAGTAACTGTGAGTTTTAAGCACCTGGGGCAGTGATACTCCAAGAGTGGCCTAAGGACCCCTGTATCACAATCACTTCGGGACTTGTTACAAACATTCAGTCCCTGCCATTACTTGCAGACTCTCTCAAACAGACCTGAGGATGGGGCCTGACAACCGTCATGTTTAACGAGCCCTTCAGTTGATTGATATGGATAGTACATTTCAGAATTATTGCACGAAATCAGAGGTTCTCAACTCCCATTCCATGCTAGAGTCACCTGGGGAACTTTTTTAAACACAATGCTCAGGCTTCATCACAGATCACGAACTCATCCTCTCCAAGTGTGGGGCAGGGCATCGGTGTTTGTTTGTCTTTAATTTTATTTTTAATTGACAAATAAGTGTGTGTACTTATAAGGTACGTATAGTGTGATGTTTTGATATATGTTTGCATTGTGAAATGATTAAATCAAGCGAATTAGGTGAGCCTGGAACATATTAGGGTTCAAAATCGCTGCTTTAGATGAAAGTTTCCCCAATTAATTTCTACCGATATATAACATGCATCTTGAAAATTGTAACTATCACAAAGGTATACATGAATATTTGTAGGGAGGACATGACAGGAATATCTGTGGAGAGGGATATCTGTGATTTTAGGATCAAGAGGCTTAGGCTCCAATCCTAACTGCCACTTGGAATTATACTCCCTGAATGTCAGTTTCTGCCTCTGTAAAACAAGAGGCCACACAAGCCTTTTTAGGCAGTTCCTCCGCAGCCTTAAAGAGCAGGCTTGAAATATTCCTGTTGGGGAGCCCAAAGTTAGATGTGGCCCCAAAACACCATATTCAAAATCACAGCAAAGCCCTGTGCCTGGAATTGGGATGCCTCATTGACATGTTCTTGCCAGTTAAAGGGAATGTTTTGCATTTTTCTAGAATTGATGAAAATATTAAACACCCCCTTCCTTTGTCCCTTTCTAGAAAAAAAAATAGGCCATAATTCTTGTCCTGTCTACCTCAAATATTATGTGAAAAACCTTGTACACTGTAAAATGCTATCCAAAAGTAAGGATTATCATTTAAAGATTTAAACCATGATCTTAATGTTTAAGGCAAATTTAAGTCATGAAAACAGAAAGCAGTAGTAATAATTTTACAAGTGATTTCTTTTTCTGAGCTTCTAAATGTGACCTGCTAATCCCTCCACAGTCCCACATTTGGGAGTCTGAGGACACAGGTCTGCCAGCCTAGCCTTGTGGCGCTCCTGCTTCTCTCTGGCTGGTTTATCCCCCAGCCCACTGTGACCATGGGATTCTCCCTGCTAGCTATTAGGGGTTGTTTGGTACAGACTGGCCCGTGGGTCTGGGTGAACAAGGAAGGAATCTAATTCTGGCTCTAGGAAGTTCTTACCACCATGCCCAGCTAATTTTTGTATTTTTAGTAGGGACAGGGCTTCACCATGTTGGCCAGGGTGGTCTCGACCTCCTGACCTCAAGTGATCTGCCCGCCTAGGCCTCCCAAAGGGCTGGGATTACAGTGAACCTGGCCTGGTCTGTCCTGGTTGTGATATAAATCCTTATTGTGACCCCAAAGTTCTATAAAACACTCTTACCCCCATCAAGCTCCACTGCATCCAAACAGGACTGTATCAGACCTCAATATTAGCTATATATGCGCGTGTGTGCGTGCGTGTGTGTGTGTGTTTGAGATGGAGTTTTACTCTTGTTGCCCAGGCTGAAGTGCAGTGTTCTCGGCTCACTGCGACCCCTGCCTCCCAGGTTCAAGCAGTTCTCCCGCCTCAGCCTCCCAAGTAGCTGGGATTACAGGCATGCACCGCCATGCCCGGCTAATTTTATATTTTTAGTAGAGACAGAATTTCTCCATGTTGGTCAGGCTGGTCTTGAACTCATGACCTCAGGTGATCTGCCCAACTTGGCCTCCCAAAGTCCTGGGATTACAGGCGTGAGCTACCATGTCTGGTCAGCCATATGTATATTTTTAAAATCACATGGGCATGTGGGCAAGTACTGCTTAGGATGTTGCTGGTACATTCCTAAAAGAGGCTACTTACCAGCCGAGTGTTTACCACAGGAAACAGCAATGCCAGAAGAGCTCCATTTAACATGTGCATCTGTAGCCTAGAGGGGGAGAAAGATAAAGTTCAGGTCATAGTCAGACCCTCATGCAAAGGAAGAAAAAAGACATGTCACGTTAAGCCACACCATATGGAAAAGAACTATGTATACAAGTTGCTCGCTGTGGAAAATGTTACTAGAGTTTACACAAAATAAATTAAAAATGGCATATTCTAAATTAACTGAAATGTTCTGAAGAGTACTATCACTGGCTCAGAATCCCCTGAACACTTTCTGAACACACTTTGGTTACAACACTTTATTACATAATGCTCTGTGCTCCCTAAACATTCAGTCAGTCCCAATCAACAATTTCAACTGCTAACAGCTTGGGCAGCATGAGAAAAGGGTAACTGGGGGTGGGGAGGGAGTAAGTGTTCTGTTATTACAGTAGAAACCTATTTATTACAACATGGCTGCTTATTTACACTGTCATGTATAATCCTTTTCCCAAAACAGAGACCTAGACAAAAAAAGATTGCTACAACCCAGGAAGCCAACTGCAGTGTTTTGCAAACTATATTTCCCCACTTTCTTAAAAATGCCTTCAGGAGCAAAAGCAGGCAGTCGTCCAGGCTTTCATTTACATATTGGGCTCTGTGACTTAAAAGCAAAAAAAAAAAAAAAAAAAAAAAAAAAGAGAAAAAAGAAAGAAGAAGAAAACCACTGGTTTCCAGCACTGGTTAATGACACTGTTTCCCAATTCCAACATCAGGCTTATTAAAATACATACATAATAGAAACGCTTCATAAGTCAAGCACAATTAACTCAGGAACAAACTCTGCTTGTGAGGGCTCTGGGATGGATTTAAGTAGCTTCCTTCATTATTAAAGGCAAATGGTTCTTTACTACTAAGAGAGATGAAAGGAATGACCATCTGTTCCTCTTGACAAAATGTTGATATTATGGGTCACGGACAACGACCACCAAGGCAACATGCCTCTTAGACTTCAATGCTAGCTGGGGGTGGATGTCAATCCCCCTTCTCTCTCTCTCTCTCTCTCTCTCTCTCTCT